TAAGAAATTTACAGAAACATAGTTAGTTAAATACGGTACGGGAATTAAACGTGGTTTAATACGTACGTGTTTTATTCGGTAACTTGAACTTAAAATACGGTCAAAAGTTCGGCAAAAAATTCGTTGACTTTTAAAAAACGTTTAAATACGTAAACGTGTACAATACGACCTCTCTTAGAAAAATTCGGGTTAAAAATACGGGTCTTATTTTGAATGATTAAATTATTGTACTTGTCTTAGAGCATAAAAACACATGATACATAAAGGATAATGAAAATACACACACATTCAAATAGAATATCTCATTACTCCATCAAAAAATGCATTCATAATAGCATAAGTTCATGACAAAAAAGAAATAATGATTAAGTCCAAAATAAAATTTAAATTATATACTTTTAAAAATAACATGTAATAAAAAGAAATAAGAGTGTACACTTTTATTGAAGTAGTAGCAAATCACATTAATACATAAAAGAATAGTCCGTAATTGCATAAGTCAGAGACATAATTTTGCAAAGTAAAGTCAGAAAATAAGGCATAATCACGATAGAATGAGACCAAATTAACATCATCATCTTTATATGATCATCAAATAACACTCAAGGTAAATTCATCATCTTCACCCAAATGACGGATGACGTATGAGAAAGTTATGTGATTGCTACAGTTAATTATTATTGTATATGTGTAAAAGTTTATACTAAAAATGTCAAGTTTAGAAAAATCTTAATTTTGATATGCTTGTTTGGAAAAGAACATCACAGATCTAATAAGTAGTACTACTTATTAGTCTTTTAGAATGCTAGCTTTAGCCATCATGCAATTGATTTCGGTATTTATCAAGTGTATATTTTGTATTGTAACAATAGAAAAACACGGGATCACAGGGATGAGCTTTTCTTTTTGCTTTTAAACTATTGTTGATCTACTATTCATTTGATGTATTCATTCAAGTGATCACATCATGTTTCTATTTTTTGTAAAATACGGGAAATATACGTTTTATACGGGAAGTGAGAGTTTTTTTCCTTTTTAAATGGACCGATATTAATTTTCGTTTTAAACGCGTTTTTGTTCAAAAAAACGGTACGTGTTTAAAACGCGTTTTAAACGCCACAAAGCTAACTAGGTACAGAAAAAGCAATACCTGGTCGGATATTATTAGCCAACTACATTAATACTCCAATAGCACTCAAATATAGTATTTCAGAACCAATGATTTCTTCATCATCTTTACAAGGTCGGAAAGGATCATCATGCACATTGGGAGATCGAACAACAATTGGAGAATTGAGCAGAGTGCTTTATCAATGTACAATCGCTTCAAAAGTTTATGTGTACTTTACAACTGCGGAAGTTTGGTCTGGTTTGATTACTTAAAGCCTGTTTTGATCTGATCTAGTATGTTTAAATTTAGTCTAGAACTTAAATGAGTCCAAGTAAAAATATATTTAACGTGTGATGCAAATTTTCCTTCAAATTTTATGAATAGCCATATTAATCTCCTACTGATTTTAAATGTATTTTCAAATGAGAGTCCTAATTGATATTCTGCAAATCACTGTGAACATGATTCTTAAGAGGCTTATTTTTGAATAGTTATATTAATCTCGTAGGGCTATTTAGAGCATCATTGTTGACATTAAAAAATTGCATCGTCATCACACTCTAACATTATGATAGATGATATGTAAACGGCAGTATGTTGTTGTGAATGTAATGCTGACCTGTACCAAATTAATGAAAACGGCGTTAACATCAATGTCTTGCGGTAACATTGTCTTTCACATTGTGACTTAGCAAACGGTTGTAAATGTCTGTCAAATTCATTCAAAGAGTACAACTTAATAGAAATTAAAAATATTAGATATATAATATATTATGATAACGAACAATCATTACATGTACGAAAAAAATGTGTGGATTATGCACGCAGTTTGATATGGTAACTCCACAAATTTATTGTTTAGCCTATATAGATGGTTCATGACTTTTGATCTTTAAATTAGTTATTATTGCTACAGAATTTATCAATTCTGTAAATTTGTCGACATATCTTGAAGGTTTGGAGTGTAGGTACTCAGGCAGGAGGATTTTGAAAATTATATTGCCGACGCGTGAACTTCTAACAGGGCGGTTAACAGGAAGCATTGGACATATTTTTTGGACTCACCGTCTACCTACGCCCCACCATGTGTCATAATTTATTGTATGTTAACATTTATTATCTGATAAAAATAATTATTAACGGAAGCTAGCGGATTCTATTATTTATTTATTATAATTGAATAGCAATTCTTATTGTTCTTCAATGGGAAATGTTGTCCTGCACCGGTCCCATATCGGTTCAATAAGGGACATGACCGGGAACATTGAAAGATTATCCCGAACCGTCCCGTTGTCTCGCTCTATATATTTGCATTTGTGTATCTCACAACTAGGGCACATAATTTTGAATAAACCATTAATTCATTTATTGCTTTGTTGTAAATTTTAATTTCAATTTTTGCTAAACAAAATGAGAATCTAATAGCTTTTAGTTTTTTTGTAAATAGATAGCTTGTGATGAACATCAATTGACTTTTAAAATGTTAATATTTTGGTGCATGACAATTTAGAAATACTAATACATTTTAATAACAAATGATGTTGTTTTGTATAATACTCTTTGGTTAATTTGGGACGTCCCAAACCGTTATGAATCATCCCGGTCACGATTTTAATGGGACAAGATGAGGATAAGGTTTTTCCGTATCACCCCATACCGTTATTACTAATTGGGTTTGGACTGGGATAACCCTAATCCCCCACCTGAGCCATACTCACCCCTATCTCAGATGTTACTCAATGTATACATACAACTAACAACTTTTATAAACTTTTTAAAAAAATATACTTTTTAAATAGTACCCCCCCCCATTATTGGGGCAGAAGGGAGTGACACGCCAACCAAGACAAAAGCTAATGTAACCAATAGCAAAAAAACAACTTTACTAAATTAGATCCCTATTACTTCCTCAATAAATTTACTTTTTACTTTCCAATAAGGTATGAGACAATAATAATGAGACATTCAAAATGAAAAATGGACAGTTACACGGGGAGGAGGGAGTATAGTTTTTAACAACACTTAATAGTTATAAAGCGTAAGAGTAGGGGAAGGAGGGCTATGTGGCTCCGAAGTTAGACATGAGTAAGGCATATGACTTGGCGAGTTAGTCTTTTCTACGGTTCACAATGATTCGTGCAGGCTTTGATAACGGTGGGTAGAGATAGTTATGGAATGTGTTTCGACAATGTCATACTTTGTTTAGTTTGATAGAGATATCCATGAGGTAGCGATTTGTAGAGGTGCTCCTACAGTATCTCACCTTGTGTTTGCCGATGATAGCTTCCTATTTTTCAAGGCCATGTTATGGGGGCATGAAAGTATTCGGGCGGTGTTAAATCATTATGAGCAGGTTTCAGGCCAAGTGGTTAATTTTGCAAAATCAAGCATATCGTTTAGTATGAATGTGGAGGAGCTTGTGCCACTAATGTTACACAATTGTATAGGCGTTGCTCAGGAGGGTGGTCAGCCGAGGCACTTAGGGCTACCAACGCTTATTGGGATGAGTAAGAGGGCGATTCTGGGGTATTTACGTGAGAGGGTTGTTAGTCGGATGATCGGATTAAAAGATGAAATACGTAGTAATAAATTTTTATCCAGAGCAGGAAGTGAAATACTTTTAAAAAATGTCATTCAATCCATGTCCATTTATGTTATGAATGTTTTCCTTCTTCCTAAGGAATTATGTGAGGAAATCGAGAGGTTGATGAACGATTTTTGGTGGAAAGGAACAAAATTGGATCAAAAAGGTCTCAGGTGGAAAGCTGGGAGCGGGATGTGCTACTCTAAAGAAGAAGGTGGGAAAATTGGAGGAGGGCCAAGTAAGCAGGTACCAAAGGCAGAGGAAAATTGGAGGAGGCCATAACCGGGTTGGATTAAAGTTAATGTGGATGCTGTAGTTAATGAGGGTGGAGGAAAGCGGGCGTGGGGATGGATGGGTAGAAACTCCCAATGAGAAGTAGTATGGACCGACTCATTGACAGTGGAATCAAAGATCAGTCTTTGCCTGAAACGAAAGAGAGAGGAATATAAGAAGCAATTATTGGAACACTTAGGAAAGGTTGAAGACAGTTGGAATTGGAGTTAGATGCCCTTCAAGTAGTTCAGACAACTCAAGCGGAAGAAGACCAGACATATTTGGGTTTGGTTGTGGATGACATTAGGAATTTGCTTAAAGGAAATGACAAGTTTGTATTGTCTTTTTGTAAAAGGTATGTAAATCGAGGTGTTTATACTTTAGCTAGAGCTACTATTTTAAGTTCAAGATGGTAGGAGTTTTCAAGAGTCTTTACTTTTAATGCTAATGAGCCAAGTGGATAATGATTTAGTGATTTAATTGACGTGCTAGCTTACCATAAAAAATAAGACTTAATAGTTAATATGGTTAGGTTAAAGGGTCAAATAGGCCCTTGAACTGACTTAAAGTATTCAATTAGCCCCTTATATAGGAGGTTCTGCCTGGCCGTCGCCAATTGGGGCGGTTCCGGGTGGAATTTTTTGATGAAATTTTTCTAGCATCTTCTTCATTAAATCTAGTTTACTCATACCAAATTTCAGCTAAAAATTCAACCGGGAAGGCAGTCAAATGATTTTTTGAAGGTAACTGCGAAGTTAAACAGCGCAGTACATTTCGGAAAATCATTTGACTGTCTTCCCGGTTGAATTTGTAGCTGAAATTTGGTATGGGTAAACTAGACTTAATGAAAAAGATGCTCAAAAAATTTCATCAAAAAATTCCAGCGGGAACCGCCCCAATTAGCGACGGCCGGGTAGAACCTCCTATATAAGGGGCTAATTGAACACTTTAAGTCAGTTCAAGGGCCTATTTGACTCTTAAACCATATCCTTAACCTATAGTTTTGACATAGGCAATGTACGGCAACCAAATAACACATTTTTTAAAATAATTTAGGAGTTGCAGTTTTACTGGGCAACGTAGCAGTAAATCACTAGGGGCTGGAGTTTTGATTTGTCAGAGTTCTCGGACAACACGGAGATGGCTGGTTTTGAATTCCCCGGTGGAAAGAGCTGTAGCCACTGCTGCTACTGTTTTGTATCGGTGCTGCTACTTCTCATTCCAGGTGCGAAGGGGTCAGGAGAAGGGGTGATCAAGGTCAATTACAAGTTCTCCGGTTCGGAACGGACTCTAACCGCCCTAAGCGCCCATGACGACATGCGCCATCTCCGATTCCTCTCCGGCGTCGACCTGCCGATCGGTGGCACCGGCCGCCCCGATTCTGTCGGGTACCTATAGATTCCAGCCTCTTTAACCCCACTGTACATGTGCGTGCTTGATTTTGTACATCCTACATCATTTGTGTTCTAAACCGAATATACTACTCCGGTCTCATTTATAGCCTTAAGAAACTCTATTGTCCTTGTCGATCTCTCGTCCTTCATCAAGGCTTAAGTGAATAGGAACGGTCATGGAAAAACAAATTCCATTTGCTTTGATTGCTATTAAAAGAATGACTGGTATTTAGGACCTCAATCACCCATTATGTCTAGGTGGTGAAATACTTGGTTCTCACCCGCTTCAACATCAACATAGAGAAAGAGTAGGTAGTATCCAGCGACTTAGCAGTTCAGCAATAATTTGTAATTTGGGGTGGGTCGTAAGAATAATTCATTAATAATTTTTTTACCAACAAAATCGTACAAATGAAGAAAGGGGTATTAACTGAACTTGGTGTGGAGTTTGGCCCTAGACGCCCCATATCTATGCATTGGTAGTATTGATTTGCAATGTTTCATTTATCATGTCATTCCCCTATGTAGTTCTACTTTGTAAAGCATTCTTCTGTGGATTATGATCTTTCCTATGCCGAGATCACCTTTGTGTGGTTATGAAATGTAAATATGTATGTTTTTCTTAATAATAGTTAGCTCCTTCATCTCATTCACATTTATGGATTTCCCTAATGCATCAATGCGAGGCTTTTGCCGTAGTTAATTTTTCTATGCATTGATTTTTGTAGGCTTTACTATGCCAAGATTGGAATTGGAACACCAGCATTGGATTATTATGTGCAAGTAGATACAGGGAGTGATATTATGTGGGTCAATTGTATTGGATGCACAGAGTGCCCCAGAAGAGGTTACCATGGAGTAGGTCCTTTTACCCTCAAAGGGGTTTAGTCTATGCTTTAGTTTGTGATTGGGCCTTGAGGCAGAGGATAAGATTTAGTATTGTTTGATTGAGTGTCCCTATTTAATCATAACACACATTACTTGTTTTCTGTTTGTAGATGGCGCTGAGTTTCTATAATCCAAAGGAGTCTGTTACCGGAGATTTAGTTTTGTGCAATCACAAATTTTGTAAGGACATCATAAGAGGCACATCAGCAAGTTGCTATGCCAATACTTCTTGCTATTACACTGAAGTTTATGGAGATGGAAGTTACAGCATGGGCTACTTCGTAAAGGATATTGTACAGTATGATCAAGTGTCAGGTGATCTCCAGACTAGATCATCAAACGGAAGTGTTATTTTTGGGTCAGTTGCAATTTGGTTTTGTTTATGATAAAATGCTTTTGTAGATGTAACTGTTAGATCTTCTCAGGAATTGTTATATCTTTTTGGTTTTTGTAACTTGACAATAATGTATCTTACATTGGTTAAGCTGTTTGCTAATGTGTCATTTTATGTTTTTTGGCAGGTGTGGTGCAACCGAGTCTGATGACCTGAGCTCCTCAGATGATGCACTTGATGGGGTCATCGGATTCGGGAAATCTAATTCATCCATGATTTCACAGTTGGCCTCTTCGGGTAGAGTTAAAAAAATGTTTGCACATTGCCTAGATGGTGTGAATGGAGGAGGTATTTTTGCCATTGGTCATGTTGTTGAACCAAAAGTAACTATGACACCCTTGATACCGAACCAGTATGCCAATTCTATCTCCCCCTAATAATAGTATCTATTTTCCTTATCTGTTTCTATATATTACGTCAATTTGCATAAAATGATATATGAAGATTTGTTTTGAACACAATTTATGAAATATTATTATGTAGTTTTTAGTTCATAGAATAGTATAGCTAAAATCAATGACTGCGGCCTTAAATGGCATCATACAAAAAATGAAGATACTTGTATTGCAAATTGTTTGATGGTATAACTTTATTGTAACACATTATTAAGAAAAGAACACCGGATTGGTGATATAAGAGCTTCAGAACCCAATTGCTTTTCATGAAGTTCAGTAAATTCATATGCTTAATGTCTTTGACATTTATTTACAGCCTGTCAACAACTGTACTTGCATCCTGCTTATATGCAGTTATTATTACAGTACTATTCCACATTACTCATTTTACTTTTTGAATAAGAATAAAGAGATAAACAATGATAAATTCAATTCAACACGCCTTATGGAGTAAGTTTGGCATGTGAGTTTTGTGTATGTTGATTTCTTCTTTAAGTTTGGCTTTTGTAAACATGTCTTCTTTGTTTTCCATAGCTGCGACCTTTTAACTCCATTTTTGCCTTATGAAGTCCAACCTCTTCTAAATGGTTATTTCCAGGTCACATTACAATGTCAACATGACAGCAATCAGAGTTGGCCATGAATATCTTAACCTCTCAACATATCTATATATGCACGGGGATAATCAGGGAGCAATAATTGATAGTGGAACTACTTTGGCTTATCTTCCAGAAGTCATTTATAACCAACTAGTGAAAAAGGTTGTTAACAATGTCTAATATAACTGGTTCACTCATATTCAGTTTAGTAGGAACTGGATGAATGTTAACACATTTTCATCATCAATCTTTTGGTAGATACTCTCCCGGCAGCCTGATTTGAAATTACGCAGTGTTAATGATGAATATACGTGCTTTAAGTACTCTGAAAGGTATACGTTGCTAAATTAATCTCTTTTCTATTCAATGTCAATGAATGGTCTGAATTGATCTAACCTTGACATTCATTATCTATGTCCATTATAATTGCACTTTGGGTTTTGACCACTGCTCAAAATTTTCACAGGGACCACACTTGGGGTTAGGACTACTGTTCAAAATTTTCATAGGGACTGCCCTTAGGGTTACGAGTTACGACTGTTTGTTTTTATTTGACCAAGTTAACTGGTACACCAGAGGTGTCATTTGCAGTCCTGTACTGGACCATGTTAGAATAGGGTTATTCTCATTCACTGGCGGGGGGGGGGGGCAACATGGGCCCTGGCCCAGTGAAAATTTGGCTTACCCCTTGAATATATAACAAATACATTTTAATTTAATGTTAGCTGAGTGAGTAATAATGTTTGCCCAGTACTGGTTTTTTTTCAAACTAACGGAGGAAGCTGCAAGTTATAATCGGTTATAAGTTTTCATCCCAGTGAGTAATAACGTACTGCTTATGCGTATAAATGGTGATAAGTTACTCAGAAATGACACATAATAGTAAATGTATTCTTTATGCATATAATCAGTTTCATTATCTAATCTCTACTCAATTGTCAGGTTTTATTGTTCAATTCTAATTTATAAAAATAATTTTTTAATTATTTTACTTTTGAGTTTTTTTTATAAATTTTAGAGACCCTCTTATCAACACATTTTCTAATGTAAGAAATCGCCACGTCCAATTAACTTTATTATAATGCTCTATATTTTTTAGTAATTAATTTTGAAATGAAGTTGAGATATATTGATTTTGTAAATAAAATGGTCACCAGGCGGATCCTAAAAATGTTAGGATAGTACAATAATAAAAATGCGCATTGGATAGTACAATAATAAAAATAAGTAAGCTTGGAATTACTTTTCCGGCTGAATTGGCTGAAATTAGTATAGAAGATTATTTTAGCTATTTTTCCATATATTTTCGTCGTTATTTTCTTAATAACATACTCCGTATATTTTAATATAATTTTTTCATAATTCAACTGCTTCAGCGAGGACTTAATAAATATCAGAAGATTCAATCAATCTAGTCAATTTCAATGTTACCCATATTTAGGATGATTTAGCATAAAACCAGCCCACCCCTATATTTGGTCATGGCTCTGCCCCCTGTTCTCATTATGAGAAAGGGCACTTAGAGCTCTATGTAGTTCCATTCGATTTAGGTTTAGGAATAGACATAGTCGTTTTTACAGATCTAGATTCTAGACACTCTTGAAACCTATTCACTTCACTGTGTTAATCGGCAAAATAGATTTGATTGTCTTTTTTTACGGAGTTTTTTTTTGGGATTTTTTATATAAAGAAGGTATTTCATCATTGCTCAGAAGGCTGAAACATGCACACAATTTTTCAAATACCTTCGAACAATTTCTGAATAAAATTTCTTGCCTTTTGGGCTTTAGAGAATATCTTATCATTCCTGATCAAGCAATTTGAATATCTTGGTATGCATTTAACTTTCTGTAACACATGTATAGTTCTTATCTTAAAGTTGAACATTTGCTGTTTTTATTTTATACTCTTTCTTATTACATGTTTAATTGCAATGAACACTCCCTCTATATGCTGCAGTGTTGATGATGGATTCCCTCCAGTCACATTATATTTTCAAAACTCACTCACTTTAAAAGTTAGTCCTCAAGAATACCTATTTCCATATGTAAGTGTTTTTCATCTTTGAGCTATTTTCCCACTGTACATTACTTCCTTTGCAATTTATCACATGTTATTCTTTAAACATGTTGTAACTTAATTTTTACTTTCTGATGTATGGATCACTTCCCCAAGTTATCATCTTGTATCTGAGTTTTTACCACTTTCAGCCCCCCAACTATTGTGTCAGTGACACTTTTGGTACTCGACTTTTAATTTTTCCATTTTTAGTCTTCGACTATTGCGCATAGACACTTTTAGTCCTCGACTTCAAACTCTCACATTTAGTCCCCTGAGTACTATCAAATTGTCACTTTTAGTCCTTCCACTATGATTTTGACCTAATAAGTGGAGGACTAAAATGTCACTATTATAATAGTTGAAGGACCAAAAGTGTCACTTTTATGAAAGTCAAAGGACTAAATGTGGAAATTTTCAAAGACGGGTATCAAAAGTGTCTTTCGCACAATACTTGAAGAACCAAAAGTGGAAATAATCAAAGTCTGAGTACCAAAAGTCGGAGGACTAAAAGTGGCAAAAACTCTTATCTATCATTTTGGAAGGACTTTTATAGGAATCATCTACATGCACTACTAGTAGTAAATGCACTCATAAGTATTTATCAACAAATTCAGCTAGCATATTTGAAGAATTCCTACTACTTTTAATGTTTGGTACTTTCATTTTTGTTAACCTTCTACAGGAAGATCTATTTTGCATTGGATGGCAAAACAGTGGAATACAATCTCATGATAGAAGGAATATCACACTTCTAGGAGGTATGCTTGTTCTCAAAAAAAATAATTTTATTTGATTGATATTGCCAGGTAGCAGGTTTTATGTAACGTCGCCTCTTTAGGAAGTTTTTTTTTGTGTGTGTACTACCCGTTGGATCTTAATGTCCTATTGGCGAAGCTAAAGAGTGGTGATAGGTGAACAAAACGAATGCTAGTTTGCACAGCCCGATGTATAATAAGCTATTCTGTTAATCAGTTTCCCCTTGCACTTTGTTTTCTTTATGCCATTGAAATAATGACTCTTCACGAATAGTCTTGGAGAGTTGGAGTGACCGCTAAGTTAAAGGATTATTTGCCAAGTCCTAATACAAACGTGGTGATAATATTCATATGAACAGTTAAAAAGTTTTGTATATTACGTATTGGTATATTTAGGTACTGTTTTTTTTGGAGTCTGAATAAAAACTGATGTATCTTTTGACACTACAAATTCATGGTAGAGAGTAGTGCCAAATATTTACATGAAGAGTAGAATTTTGGAGCATCAAATTAGGCAATTTTAGGAAGACATCCCTATGCGACATACATTCTGTGGGTGATGGTAGATAAGACATGTTATCATGACCTAGTAAATGTGTGCCACATAGGAATGTGTCTCTAAAATGTTTACATTTAATGCTTCTCTATCACTGTTTTTACATGAATGTCCTTTTGTTTTAATCTTCTTCTGAAGGAATAAAGATCAAATTCCAAACTTGGCATCATAAATCTCGCTTGCAAGACAAAAATGTGGTGTAATAGTTGTCTTAGACTTACAGCCACGTGACATTGCCAGATTTGTATTGTAAATCCACATGCACCCCACAGAACATGACTTCGATTCTTTCACTGTATTCCGTGGAATTCTCTTTGAGCTTATTTAAATGGCTACCCCTTCATACACATCACTGATACCTTATATGTTTGGATCCCGAAAAATGCTATGGAATGGAAAACAAATGCTAAAGAAAGACATTTTCTTATGTTTGGCTTTACCTCGAAAAGGCCAAAAGGGCAATAGGAAAATGAAAAATTAGTAGTTGTTTAAAATTTGTGTTTAGATTCATATAATTTTTTAGCTTTTATCTAATTGAAATAATTAAATAATTATGTTTTTGAATTCTAAAGTAAATTTATTGATTCATGTTAACCGACCCCAAAAACTTTTGGGAAAGGCTTGGATGTTGTAGAGTATCTAGTTTATTTTACTCCATTTTTTCCTTCCATCTCTATTCAGTATTTCCCTCATTTTCTTCTCATAGTATTTCCCAGGTTTCAAATGGGCCCCAATATATAGAATAAAGTATTTTTATTCATTACACTGCCTGAATAGGTAGGCACAATGGATAAAATTGTACTGTGTACCAACATCTCTTGTCATGCTTGCAGACTTGGTACTTTCAAATAAGCTTGTCCTCTATGATCTTGAAAGTCAGACCATTGGATGGACAGACTATAATTGTAAGCTATCTACTATTCGATACATTGCTTTGATTTTTCCCCGAATCACAGGTATTCCATTGTATATAAACACATGCAAATAAAAAAGGAAAAGGGGATAAAATCGTACTCACAAGTATGTATGCATTTATATGTATATATACGTGCACGACTGCACGCAAAGAACGAAACTGGTGCCAATGGTACAGTGCCAATCAAGCTCTATCTAATTGTACATTTCGCTTAAACATAATCACATAAAATCTCATAATGCAACTTGAAGGTCTTGGTACTGTTCCTACTTGGCAGTGAAGCCTTTTCTTATGCTACACCCATCTGTTTATTTTATGTGTCATTTGCTTCATTCAACTGACATTTTCTAAGGGAAGCACTGACAACTTTTTCTAGTTGATGTAGAAGCCATAACACGGTTAATATTTTCTTCTAGTTTGACGATTAAAATTAATATAAGCCGCATTAATGCATTCGGAAAGTCTTTTCAATGTTCAAGAAAGGGGAAAAGTGACAGACCTTTGAAGCAGAAAAAGTAATGGTAGAATTGTTAAATTGACAAGAAAAAGTGAAGCAAATAAATAAACTTGAAGTTTAGTTCAAGTATCCAAAAAAAGGGAAGGGTGATGTTTCTTAAAGCATGAATTTTATACTCCCCGGCTCCCCCTGTCCCTAAATTTAACACTTGGTGCATAAATGTCTACCACTATTTTTATTCTTAATCTTTTTGCAAGGTCAAATTGTTGATTAAGTTAATGATAAAGTATTAAATAAAGAATCTCAGATGTCTTCATAGTATCTTGTGTTGGGCTGTCGTGTGATGCTGAACCTGTTAAGTTGCATTTAAATATGAACCGTCATTGAACTGTGTTTATTTGCAGGCTCCTCAAGCATTGAATTGAAGGATGAGATAACTGGATCTGTGCATTTAGTTGGTGCCCATTCTATATCATGTGGCTGTGGTCTAAGTTTAAATGTGCTCTATGTCTTATACCTTTTGATCTCAATTTTAGTGCAAATTAGTAGCTACTGAACTGGCATAACCGTACAAGTAATATTCATTCTTAAGTTCTATAAAAAGGAACTTTGCAAAGAATTCATACTATAGCAGTATATTTTGGCTCTAAAAGTGGGCTTGCATAGTTGCATATACTTGTAGCCAGAAGATAGGTATTGACTAGCAAACTATCAAATATAGTCCCCATTTTTACTTTTGCCGTGTACATGCAGTTTTGTAAATGTATAATAATTATAATAGTAAAGCCTACTTTGTAGCTTTTCCATTATTTTCTTCTTAAAACTGAGACATCAACGTTTTTTAGACATTACTATTTCAGTAACTAGTTTTTTACATATTTTGTTATTGTTGTATAATTATAACTGGCGATTGAGCAAGTATCGAATTAATAAAAAAACTAATTTGACTGACGGAAACTTGAGAAAATCGACACCGTTATTTGGACCAGACCCTACATGGGGCTACATGTTAAGGACTAAGGTTTTAGACTGACGATACTTCGGGAAAATGAAACCATTATTTTTAATAGAAAAAATTGTTTGAAGAGCTTCTTTTGATACGGAAGAGTTTTTGTGCTTCACTGGTATCAAGTATCAACTATCAACTATCAAGGGGTTTCCAGAGTTTTTGTGCAATGGCTACGTACACTGAAATTGTAATTGCAACCTCGGCATTTTTTTAATTTCAATATGGGTGGTTCTATTCACAACCACAAATTTGCTATTAATTTTTGTTAAATACGATACATTTGAAATATCTATCGTACCCTTGTGTTAAAGATAGAACCTTCAATAATTCTTCCTTTCAAGAAACTTCCTATCCCGAATCCAGACTAAATCATTATAATCCCTATTGCAAAACGTTTACTCGCCCTGTCGAGCAAAAGTATAACAAATTCATCAAGAGCGACACTATGTTCAAGCATATCATAGATTGCTGAGTCTGGATTCTCCCTTTGCCATCACCCCTAGTCCGCCATCTAATTTGTTATGCAGAATCATAACTAAAGAATAAAACAAAATATTACATAATATATTACACTTTCTCTTGATTAAATTTACGGATGCATTGATCAATGAGGAAGGATAGAGGTAACAAGGATAGCATGAATCTATTGAAAAAATCAGTGGAAAAATAAACGATCCACATGTAATGTTTCTTCCTTTCAATAGCTCACTTTTTGCCGGAGGCTTTCTTTTCAGAACTGTAATTGTCAGTTGCAATTGGATATGGCCACTTGAGATTTTGACATGTTATAGCAGACCTTCAAGGACGGCAATTCGGCAACAGGGATGATGTTGGGACAACAGGGATATAATAGGCATTTTATTAATATTTAATTAATTAATTATAATTAGGGACTGTGTTTAGTAAAATTATGGCTACATTTAGAATTACCCTTTCAATATTACAAAAAAATAATAGCAAATCTAAGCCCATTCACATTGTGACCCCCCCCCCCCCCCTCCCCCGACAGATGAAAGCTAATACAAAAACCTCACTTGCTTCAACTATACACATTGCCAACATTGTATACGTAGGCAATTATAGGGTAAGTAGGATAGTAAGTTAGTAACTAGTCATCCAAAATGGCATCAATAATAATGATATTCTACTATGTACTCAAATAAAGGTGGTGATGAACTGGCAATGACAATACAGGGATGAGTATCACCAATTCATTTGCCCATATGACTCAGTATCCTACTGATCAATCCATCCTTCTTCCCACCCACAGGGAGGCTGTGGGCCACCAAGTAGTACTTCAACTCTTGAACAGACAAATCTTTTAACTGTCCATTAAAAAATTACTTTGGATTAACTCAATCAACTACAGATGTGATGTTGACCTTCACAGCAAGTAAAACTGGGAAATAAATTTTCTTAAATTACCTGTCCGTTGTCTGCAAGGTCAGACCAGTCATACTTCGTGTACTCCTTAACGGCATTTTCAGCAATTGCTTTACGTTTTTTGGCAGCCTCGCTAATAGTAGTAGTCTTTCCTTTGGAATTTAGCTCACCCTCCTCATCATAGTTCTCTCCATATACAGAAAGCTTGAAGTCCTCGAGCGTTTTAACGATACCAGGCCTACATGAAAATGACAGAAATTGTTGCATACATACAGGGGCACACAAGGTTCTAGAACATGTATTGAAAGAATATGATTACCTAGACATGCCCTCTTCATCGGGAAGAGTTTCATCTTTCATTTCAGGCATCTCGTCTTCATCCAGAGCAAGAGCCTGCAATATTGCGTAATGTCTCTGCAATGCTATGTGCAACTAGAAGTCAGAACATTTTTTTAGAGGATAGATAAGTAAGAGATAGGAGTTGCTTCAAAAGATTGTGTGGGAGGATAAAACATTCTATATCCGTGAACGAACATTGTGTAATTACACATACATCTTATTTTCCAATAAAACATTTTCCACAAGTTACTCAACTGGAAACAAATAGAGCCCTAATTATTGAAGCACTTCCAATTTAATTTAGGAGTAGTCTTACTCTGAAATACTCATGGTATTGGGATCAAATAAATTCAAATACAAACTCCATTTGCAAAGTGATATTTTCCCGTGGAGCCATTTGATAAAAAAAAAACATTTATTGCACTTTGTTACTTCAGAGGCGGTGTTCCGGTAATCACATAATATTCTTGTGCAACCATCTGAATATTAAGCTGGTGAACCTATGCAAAAAAACGCCACAAGCTTGTTGCTTTTTTCCTCTTAATTTTGTTAATTAGTACAGTTGTGGGGGGATGAGGAGACTCTTTGGATACCTTGTTATCATTCGTGCAATTTTTGGTCAAAAACCATTCATGATTTAACAAATGCGCAGACAAAAATCCAACATCTTCCTCATAGTGGAAACTTACCAGGATTTGAAAATTGGCAAACAGAAAAGTCTTTTAAGTCAATACGCCTCACTACAGCAGAGGCAGCTTTAGTCTGGTCATCAGTTGCATGAGGTAAGGACTCTGAATCTGCATGAAGCTGCAGCAAGAAACCAACAAACCCTTTTATGAAAAGTTCATCAGGGAATTAATGAAGTTTATATATTCTGCTTGCCTCTTCAACATGTCTAATATCATCAGAGTAAGGAAGAAATATCATATGCATCCCTGGTGGCTCAACCTGACCACGAGTAGTTGTTATCTCCTCCTGCAGTTTAAAAAAAGAGTTAACAGATATCATGGTGCGAGAATTAGAAACTGATGGAGGTAAAACGTTTTTAGATTCTTGATAGAAGCATAAATGTTGCAAGCATGCAGATGTAAAGATAAACTAGTTGTGCAGAGGGCAGTCCAATATCTTATATATACGTGCAATTCACTTATTTATTAATTAATTACACCAAGTTTAAATTTTAGAGACGGAGCTCGGGGAGCTGAATGTGGCCGACTGGCAGTCCTCTTCCCACTCCACCCCTCTCAGAAAGCAACGAAGAGACATATACTGATATACCCCAGCACTCCTTACAACACTCCTTATGATCGCTTGTCATATTAGATATTCGAGTACACACTAATGAAATACTATACTACACATATTTTTATATTGAGGTTTGTATGACTAGAATACCCACATGAATTCTTTAAAGTGCAACTCTGACGTATCAATTATGGTGAAGTATGTACAAATTCCATTTTTAGCATTTTAATATCAAAGTCTAGCTCTCAGGCAGACACTGCTTTGCTCCCATACAAAAAGATCATACAAACAAAAAATAATCATTGCAAATACCACATGTCTTGAAGAAAGCAAAATGTGTTACCTGAGCAATCAGAGCAACCAATCGAGACTGAGATGAACTCCCGTAAAAAGCAACTGCAAAACTGAGATAAGAGAATTATTTAAATACAAAAAAGGCAATATTAGGCAATCGACTGCATTGAAAATTGGGTCAAGAGTTCAGCCAGTGATGTTTTGTCTCCAAATATAATTAGAGCAAATTTTGGAATGAATGGTACTCCCTCTTGATATATATACATAAGGGTATGTATATATATATATGTATATGTATGATCAAATGTGAGAGACCTTAGGCTATGTTTGGTATGATGTAATGCAATGGAATGAAGTGTATAATGCAATACAAAATGTAATGTAATGGAATGGAGTCTCTATTCCATTACTATGTTTGGTTACTTAAATAACAACTTTGAATTGTGATCAACATTACATAATTATGTTTTTTTTTATCTGTGTGTGTGCGGTGTGTGCGTGTGCAGTGTGTGTGTGTACGTGTGCAGTGTGTGTGCAGTGTGCGCGCGGCGTGTGTGTGCAGTGTGTGTACGTGTGTGCAGCGTGTGTGTGCAGTGTGTAAGTTGTAATCTCAAATACACATCTTGTTTAATGTAATGCTTATTAGTTATTACACAAATCAAAGTAATGAGTTCCACATATGCAATGGCCATTACGGTTTAAAATAAAATGACATACCAAACATCGTAATCAAACGCAAATTATACCGTGGTACCGGTATACCATACGCATGGTATACCGGTCCAATACGGTGTCGTTTATGTAAATAAAAATTCCGTATTCTCTTTCTCGGTCAACAATTTCTGTTCTTTTCTGGAAATCTGCACCGCCCTCTGTACAACCCTATAGCAATCCACCGATCAACAACGTAATCCGGTCAGCAGTCATTTTGAATACTTCTATAGATCCATTCGCACATATATCTCCTCAACGAAGAGAGAGAACGAATCGAGATGTGTAGAAGAGATTAGTTAGTAGCGGAATTGATCGAGATGAACTAGCGCACAACCTTTGCTGCGATGATGACGCAGTGGTTTCTTCCACTTTCAGATTTGAACTGGGACACCCAATTGAATCTGAAACTCATCTTTTATGGTGATTTACCAGGTCGCACACACACACATATATGTGTGTGTGTGTGATTGTAACTTTAGATACAAACGAATTTTTATTAATCTAAAGATGGAGAACATCAGATTACATATCATATACTTCGTATGAAGTATATTTGAATTATTCATTGCTCGAGTTACATTTGATAATTCATGAAGTTACATCTTTTAATGGGCGATTCACATCTTCATGTGAATGAGTTACATCTTTTTATAATAGAGTTACATCTACTGAAGCGCGAGTTACATTTGAACTTGTCCCAACAAGTTACATTCTCTATACACCTAAGTTACATTTTCCATCAAGTGAGTTACATATTTTTACACGCGAGTTACATCATTCATATTACTGGGACAAAAAAACAATTACTGTACACGCGTGTACTATTCACGTGTTACTGTTCACG